GTCACTGTCTATGCTTTCATAAACATACAATAAACAAGTTCTTGACTCATCCTTGCAGAGACAAAGCGAAGGGACTTCTGGCTTCATGATGAGAATAGGACCATTTTTTGACAGAAATTTGCTCTAAAGCACTTCATCAGTCCAGACCAGACATGCTCTTTCATCCTTTCAACATCTCAAAGGAGAGGAGGACCTTGTAAGTCCTTCAAAATCCACCTCTGCCTTTCAGTTTCTGAAAAGTCTAGCCATGTTTCTATCAGCTGCCTCTTCCTTTCCCACACCTGCTCTCTGTTTCTACAACCTGGTAGCATTCTGCAGAGGACACTTCAATGGTTCTATTTGTTCCCTATTTTCTATCCAGATATAGTTGGGGGTGGGTTTGCTTTCTTAATGGGACTTTCCCCAGAACTCCATTTGATTTTCCAGGGTCTTCCTTACTTTCTCAAACATACTTCATCTTTTCTAAAAAATAGTTTTAGTTGTAGAGGGACATAATACCTTTATTTTGTTTATTTAGTTTTATGTGGTTTTAGGAATTGAACCAAGTGCCTCACACATGGTAGGCAAGTGCTCTACCACTGAGCCACAGCCCCAGCCCCACAATTCAACATTGTTTAGAAGTTTCATGTTGGCCTTAGTGAAAAGAAAAAAAAAAAAAAGACGAAAAAAGGGATTGCTAACTTTGCTTATAATGATTTAAAATTTGAGTTTGACAAAAAGACACCATAGATAAAGTGAAAGGGGCTAATGATTGGGCTTAATATTTATAATAAAGATTGCCTACAATCTAGTAAGAGATATAATTTTTAACATGTAGGCAAAGAATATATCAAAAGCAATACAGAGAAGAAAAATCCAAAGGTTTTCAAGATAGATTTCAACCTTACCCCAGGATGCAAATGAAACCACCATTTTCACCTATCATTTGGGGGAAAAAATACCAAGTTTGAAGCAGGAATAGGAAATAAGTATCCCCATATTGATACAGCCCTTTGGGAAGGCAACTTGGCAATATGTATTAAAATGTGTGTCCTGTGATTTCCTAATTCTGACTATATACACAGGAAACATGCCCGATTCTTTCCTTTCTCCCCTGGAAAGGCTAACTTATGTTCCTAAAAGTTTTATCATTTTTAGAGGAAAACTTTAGGCCTCTTCACATGAATCATTTGAAAGACACAAACAGACCTTTATATTGTTATAGGGCTTCGACATGTTAACATGTTACCATGTCTCTTTTTTTCTCAAGCTTACAGAAGCTTCCTCTAGAAAAAGAGGGGATGGAAGAGAAAAGAGATTAAAAAGAGGGGAAAAACTTCTACTGGCATTTAACACTGCCAAAATCACCAGAATTTTTTTTAAGCCTGATAACCTGGAAATGCAGAGTCCTTGCGAATTGTCCTCTACTTATTCAGAGCAACTTGAAGGTAATGCTTTCCAAACTTTTTCATGTTGTGGCATACAGATGCAACACTTGTACATCCCGCTGAGATGAAGGGCACAGGTGGCCCTAGGAAGCCTGAGGATCACTCCTTGTGAATGGCCCAAGGCCTTCAAGGACTTGGGAAGTTCTGTGAATATCATGCACCCTCTAGTGGTTAGATTCACTTCCTTTCTCCTTTGGTCAGATAAGCCGAAGCACCAGAAAAGGAGAAATGCAGTTATCATGTCTCACACACAGCACAGATTTAACTAAGCACCTTCGCACAAACAAGACAGAACCAAGTTCATGAAGTGTGTTATCAGTGTAACTGATACTTTCATTTTCTGAGGTTATGTTTAAATAAAGAAACACATTTTGCTGCATCCAGGCCCCTTGTAAACTACAATAGTGACCAGCTTTAGAAAGAGAAGTAAAACTGACATGCCTAGAATTAGCCATAATCTGGTTGACTTGCAGGGATCCTCTTATGTACAACTGCCAATCCTGGAGCCAGAGGTGTGTTGATTAGTCTTCCCTTTCCTCTGTACACTTCCACCAACTCCCTTCTCTGGACATAAATGTGACTATCTTTTAGTACTAAATCACCAAGGTGGTACTGTAATGCTCATATTAGCTTGCTTACCTTGAGTCTGCAAACAGTATAAATTTTGGGTATGATCTTCAGGGTCGTGGTTAGACTTTTCATATGTGATATTTCTCCTTGATACCTGCCATTTTTTTAGTTAAGGCAGAAAAATGGACTGTAAGAAACATGTGATAGGCCTCCGGTTTCTTTCTGTGGTGTGGTGATGAGGGACAAAGGGGCAGAAAGTTTTTGCTTAGATGTGGAAGGGGGATGCTGAAATTTTTTTATATCCCAACTAAAAAGTTCAGCATAATTTTTCAAGGAAAATGTTAAAAGTTGATACAATATATTAAGACAATGAAATTGTAAAATTTTTAATTTATGGAAATGTACTGCCATCTGCTGCATATAAAAAAAATCCTTACAGGAGTTTGTCCTACTGGGATTATACATAATCAAGTAATAGATATCTTAAAAATATCTTAAATATAAGATACAGTAACTGTCACAAATAAATTATAATTTAAATGTTGGGTAAGCTTAGGTGTTTCTCTGAAAATTTCTCCTGTCTTTAATTTTCCATTTTTGTCTTTTTAAATTCTATCTTAAATTCCATCTCTTCATTGAATTAATTTTGACAGTTACATTTTAATCTCATAAAGCTCTCATTCTTTGCATTCATTTTTTTAGTGTATCCCTGTCTTATTTCACATACATAATATTTTCCTATCTAGAGAAATTAATTGTATTTTATTTTTCTACTTCCTGCACTAGTTCTGTGCAGAACCCTTTGAGCTCCTCCCTACTCCCTTTGTTTATACGGATCTCTTTCATTTCAGAGTCTTCCCTCAAACATCTAATGACCAGGAGCTTGTCCATTCATGCTAATAGTGCAGTGCCAACAAACAGACTGCCTCAGTGGGAGTTCAGTAGCAGGTTTCCCTGGCCAGGACAGGTTCTTTCACTGGGAACCCGTTATTGTTGGGGTATCCAGACGGGGTCCTGGTCCATGGTGTCCCGAACAAAGAATTGAGCAAGACAAGCAGAAGTAACAGGCAAAGTACAGATTTATTGAAGGTGAAGGTGAAAGTAGTACTGCATAAGGTAGAGCAGAGTGGGCTGAGCAGGAGAGGCTCAAGGCCTCAGTGTCTGGAAATTCTTGTCTTACATGCTGAGTTGAGGAGTTCTCTTCCCTATACAGACCTGATGAAAGACCTTACCCCATCTGTCCCATTGTTTACCTAATGGTACCTGATTAGAATACTGTCCAATTTACCCATTGGTTACTTTAGAATACCTAATTATAATACTGTCCACTTTACACCCGTTTTTGGTTGTTTCATATACTGAATCTGGCCAGAGTTACCACAGGCGGTAAGTCCTCAGTGCAGGAGTCATCATGGTAATGGGATGTGATGACTTATCTCCCTGTCTTGTCCTCCAGCATTTTCTTCTACCTTGCCTCTGCCACCTTGGTATCCCTAAACTCCTACCTAAACCCCCAACTGTCAGTCTTGTGAAAAATAAATGCAGTGATCCATTTTCAGAGTAGTATTTAGTCTTAACTGGGTTCTAAGATCTGATTGTAGCTATTTTGAATTTCCCAACCTATATCCAAGCATAGCCATTTTAACTACAGCCCTTCCTTTTGACCTCCCTAATTTTAAATTAGCCAATCACATAGACTGTAATCCCAACCTGCTTCTATCAGAGCAAGTGTCAATGCTACATTAGGGATAAAACAGGCAGACTGCCCATCAAAGTGTGCTTGCACACCCTTTTGCAGAGGTAAAGTTTGCCTTGCTGAGCTACTTCTGAGCATATGTTTGATTCCTCACAGCACCCCCATATTTCTAACAATTTTGGCACCCAACATGGGCTAGATCATCGCCTAGGGGATAGTGGGGACTCCTTCCCTCAGAGGAGATGCTTCCCCCTGCCTTCCAGAACTGTGAGCTAAAGTAAGCCATTTCTCTCTTAATTATCTCAGACATTTGTTACAGTGTCGGGAAGCCAATACATCTTCTTGTAGTATTAACTAATGTAATATTGACAGTATTAACTACCATGAGCAGCACAGTAGTGAACAATTTGTCAATTTTACACCATCAAACCAATAGGCACACTGCTACTATTTCAATTCTAAGAGGGTTTAATTAGACTTTGTAATATTTCCTATAATTCAGCAACAAATTCTTTTAAGACTCCCTAGTTGCTATATAAAGTGAAAATATTTTTAAAAAATGGACACAATACCTTCATTTTTGTGTGGTGCAGAGGATCAAACCCAGTGCCTCAAACATGCTAGATAAGTACTCTAACACTGAGCTACAACTCCAACCCCCCAAAGATATTTTCTACAGTAATTATTAATATAGCAATTATTAACAACTCAATTTTTATGTTTTTACTCTGAAATGGAAAAACTGTGTCCCTCGAAAGGGATCTGAGCAAGAACTTGCTTGCTAGTGATCTTGAACATGGTGTTCAACCTCTGTGTTCGTAGTGGAGATAATATCAGTAATAACACTTACTTTGCAGGTAGTCTTCTGAGAAGATCAGATACTGTATCATCTAAAGCATCCAGCACTGAACTCAGTAAACCCTCTGCAAATGGTAGCTGTGATTTTTAAATACTAAACTGTGTAACATTTTCTTAGAAAATGGTTGGATTTTCTTTTATAGCTGTTCAGCAGATCATAGCCTCTCAATTGCTAAGATGGTGAAAAGTAAATTTTAATTGTCTTCCCCACCACATAAGCAGTGAGTAATTTTGCCAGGTTCTGAGTGAAGTAACTGTCTCGACATCATAGTCTCTATTTGTCTTTCACAGCCCTGTGAGCTTAATTCAAGAGAAAAACTCTGAATCCAAATACTCAGATCTACAGGTAGGATTTAAGACATAACTATAACTTGTTTATCACAGTTTTACCATTACCTGCCATTACTTGCCAGGGGCAAGAAATTAAAAAATATAAGCATGTGAAACGCTCGAATTACAAAAATAGAATTTATTTAACTTATATACAGGGTGTGTGATGTATTTACTTATTAAATACAAATTCAGTTTCTCAACTAGAAAGTTTATATAAATTCCTAAAAAGTTCATTGTATTTCTCTGACTCTAAATCTCATAAGTTTTTCCTTCCCCCATCTGGACTGCAGCCTACAATCTTATGCACATTTACTATGGCATTTATTTTCCCCTAAAAATTCTTATATCAATAGTATAGCAAGTATCTTTAGATTCAATAACAATGTTTGGAGTAAAAGGTTTTAATCTTTTTTTTCCATCAATAATATTTTATTTCATATATACAACTTTTCCAGTTTTTCCTACATTCCTACTGACACAATATCTGTTGTTACTGAACATGGCCCTTTTCTGGGGAAGCCACACATACACATAGATGATGCACTTTGCCTTAAAGCAGTATATTTTGAATTAAGCCCATCTTTCCAGTCTACAAAGCTAAGATATATGGAGGTTAAACACAAAAAGTCAAATCAATTATCTGTCTTCTCACCACATAATCATTTTAAATAATTTTGTTAGACACTGATTTAAGTAACTGTTCTAACATAACAGTCCCAATTTGTATTTACTTTAATAAGCAACTTCCTTTTCCATGTATTTGAAACACTGCCTCATATAGTAACAGTTTTAAGAAATGACAATAATGGTGTATGTAGAAACAAAGCAAACTTTATTTACTTTCAAGTAAATAAAGATTGTACAGAGTGGTAATTATCAGTAATGTACTCTGTAAGTGCTACAAGGACAAGACCACATCTGTCTTACATAAGTATATAATATACAGTACTGAGGGCATAGATGATTAAATGTAAAGTAATATATTCAACTCTAAGCTGGCTCAGAAATGAATACTATCCATTCCAATACTGGGGACAGTTTTACAAGAATGATAATTTTCACATATATATACATAAAAGCTGCAACGTTTTATGGTCCTGGGGATTAAACCCAGAGGCTTACGAATGCCAGGTAAGCACTCTCCCACTGAGCTACACACAAACTCAAAAGCTGCAGTTTTTAAGGTAACTGGAGTGATGGTAGTACTACAGGAACCATATGTAAAAAATGAAATACTGCTAGATGATGCCAAGTATTCCCATCTTGGAGCTGATAATAAGCCCTGAGACAAAAGAGATTGGTTCACACACAGCAGTTGTCCAGTGCTTCTTCTGCAGTTGATATGCTTCATATAGAACAATAGGTATATAAAAGCTTTTGAGCCATTCCAATGTTCCCGCTGCTCTGATAAATGAGAGCTAAGTTGTAGGCAATATCTCTTCGTAAGTCTAACTGGTCCACTTCTATACCCTAGGAGGGGAAGAAGAAAATGAATATTTTTAAGATTTCAAACTGCCAACCAGGACAATTTTTTTCATGGCAAATAGTTCCATAAGTGTGTATTTGCAAAAGCTATTAAAATTCATACAATACTGAAAGATCTCACCAATGAGGCATAGCAAAATAAACTTTATTAAATTGAATAATAAAATCTTGGGAAAGGCCCTTCTAAATAGTAAAACGAGAAACTTTAGGGAACACTATTTAATAAAGTGTTACCTAATTTTAGAATAAAAATAAAGCCTATTAAGACCATTAAACTAAACTGTTGTAATTTTGTCCCTTGACAGAGCAGGCAACCAGTGAAAGGACCCAAAGGCAGTTGCTCTCTCCTCAGACACCTTGAGGAATGTAGGAGTCCTGTCTTCTTCATGGACCCCAAGGGTTGAAAGTGAAGTGCCTTTCACAGATTCTGTTCTTTTTGCACTATGCCCCCAGCCAATCTTTTTGGCTTTGAGGGTACTAGGGTTAGTTGGCACAGTGATTTTAAATGCCAGACTTATATAACATTTTCTTAGAAAATGGTTGGCTTTTCTTCCACAGCTGTTCAGCAGATACTACAATCACAGCCTCTCAGTCACTAAGTCGGTAGGAAGTAAAATGTTAATTATTTGTTCAATGTCTCATAGAATTTCTCTAAGCAGTAAACCCAGGTGAATGTAAATAAATAAGATAAAAACTTATAAATCAATTGGTCACAGTTTTGAACAATTTTTTTCAGTAACTTCAAATCTTAAGGGTTGTGCCCTGTTAAACTAAGTGTTATATAAATGTCCAGGCCATTTCCAAATAAGTTAAAATACTAAAACATCAATTATTAAGCATAAGTTTAAAGTGTATATACTTAAATATCTTATTTCTATAGGGCATAAAGAAGCTAAATATGTTTTATTGTTAGTAAATATATAATGTTCTATATTTTAAAAACTGTGCTCATATTGCTAGAAATTATAAGATGTTAGGCTGTAGACTGCTGATTCAAAATTACTAAGAATTAAAATTCTAACTAATATGTAGTAACTAAAATTAAGAAAGGGAGACAATTCTATGAGGAAAGCCAAGCCTGTTTTAAAAGGTGGTTATGGAATATGAGAATGTTTTTGTTGAGGGTGGTTTTCTCTGGCTGGTTGTTCCACACTGAGAGTTAAGGGGTAAATGAATTAAGATTGAAGGTTTGTGGAAGACGATTCTTGTAAACAAAAAATCTATGAGCAAATTGGCTAAAATTAAGGAATTATTTGTAATATTTTCTAAATAAAAAGCATTGATATCAAAAGTATATTGATGCAAAACTAAAGTTGAAAAAGATTCTGTAATTTCTTATACCTTTGAAATCTTTCTGTCACTGGTTTTATTTCACAATGATCTATGATTCTATTTGAGTGTTTTAAGCTTTCAATATTTTTTTTACCTCAAAGAAGACAAGGGACATATTAAGCTTATTTTAATGTTAAATTATATGAGAAGTCTTCTCAAAGAAGGAATGTTTAACCTTCTTTGAGTTCTATTTGTATCTATGTATTGTTCATTTATGTTCAAATAACTATAAATTTTCTAGAATTTGATGTCATTCTGGCTATTACATTAAACTACTATAAGCCACAGAATATCAAACTCATCAGATTATAACCATGGCTATTTTAAATCTTGTTGTCCATAGTTCAATTGCTTTTTTCTGATGTTATTGAAGCTTTTTGTAAGCTACTGTAATTCTTTTTTTTTTTTTAAGATGGACACAATACCTTTATTTCACTTATTTATTTTTACGTGGTGCTAAGGATCGAACCCAGGGTCTCGCATGTGCGAGGCAAGCACTCTACCGCTGAGCCACAACCCCCACCCAAGGTACTGTAATTCTAAAGTTTTTTGTCTTCAAGGAGGTTGAAAGAAATGATGAAAAGAACTCTGACAAGTGCAGATTTCTGGTAGCTTTAAGACCAAGGAATTAGCCTAAGAAATGCAGAATGCTAATGGAAAAGCTAGCCTTACAAAATTAATAAGCTAACATCAAGAAAAAGAATTACATGAGACTGAATAAACCAATGAAGAATTATAGGTGGGTTTTTCTGACTTTAAAGTGTTGATTCTTTTCTATGTTTGGTTTTCCAGATTAAAGGAAACAATTTTCATCTTTTTAAGCTACCTCAGTTACAGTAGATTAGGTAGAATATATTTTCTTGTAAATAAAAATTGAAACATTCATTTTTCCCTGATCCCTCCAGAATTTGGAAGCTGTTTGTGAGTACCCTTATTTTTATAGCAATATGCGCATATATATATATAATATATATATATATATATATGTAAATTCAATAAAAATATTTTTAAAATAGGATACAATTGGAAATGTTGGCTTTGACTAGAATATAATGCCTGGCTTGTAAGGGGTTCTAAGTTTACAGTGAGGGAGCAAAACCTGTCACTTCCTAGCAGGCCCAGAAACCTCAAGATATTAGGTACTACAAAAACAGACTGCCTTGGTTTGATTTTCCAGCCAAGTCCAATCTGAAACTCCCTTTCAAATTTTCAAAATAAGAAATTTACAAGGAGACTGTGGTTATTCTGGCTACACTTATGTAAGTAATCAAGAGACTATAACTATTTTGCAAATAAACTGGTCTTAACTGTGATTGTCTTTAGTTAAAAAAAAAAAAAGGGAGAAAGCTATAGTATATAACTGTAGCCCTGTTCATTGTTTTGAATTTTTAATGATCCATCTGAAGACTGGATTGGATTCTAAACTCTAGTTTTCTCTAGTATCTGGCAACAGAAACTACTTGATTCCTGAAGCCCTATACATCGAAGATGGACAATTTGATGTAAATTTGAAGGGAAAAGTCTTGTGCCTAATATATGGGTCACAGACAGCTCACCAGAACATAAGCAGCTTCTCCCAAGCCTATACCTCTTTCATTTGGCAGGATAATGCTGTAATTAGAATTTAACAATTAGTACTTTCTGCAAATAACTAATTTGGTCTGTCATTTCAAACACATATCTTTACAGGTCCAAAGAAATTTAGTACTCCCAGTGGCTAGCAGCTTGATAATGGAGCTAACATGTATTCTTGCATACTGATAAATATTTCATGTAAAGGAGGCACTTGGTTGCAATCATTAATGAATGGGTTACTTTGTTAAAACACATTCTTGATCTGACTTTTCAAATTATTTGATTTAGTTGGTTTGGTTCAAGGGAGCCATACTTGGCTTCTCTGGCCAAGAAGCATACTCCAAATTCTTAGTATAAGTCTCCTGATAGTATAATAGTTTTTTGGAACACTGTATTTTCTAAGAGTTTTTTTTAGATAAATGTGAAAAGTCTCTCTTTAGCTAGAATGGCAAAAACTCAAAAGAGATCATGATCACAAGGACACCATAACTTATAAATGACTTGTTGAGACCAGAACCCCAAAATGATGCTGAGAATAGCACTAACATCTCAAAAAGGGATAATTATTAAATAACATTTATAGGAAGCCCATGTTTGGAGGAGTTTTCCTCCTACACATTGAACTAAAAATCAAAATGGAGTCACTCATACTAAACTTCCATGTCCCCCAGCTAAAACTAAGCTGTTTATCTGACCTTGCAATAGACTGGGATTACAGAGAGTCCAAGTCTTAATTTTCAAGATAATAAAGTTCCCTCTGTCTTAATCCTTACACAAAGTACCTGAAGTAATCTGAAGTTAACTGATTAGTCATTTCAAAGTTACTTTCTTTGTAAGGAGGTGCAGGGAAACAGAATAATAATTTTAAAAACCACCAATCTGCTTTTTTCAAGCCTTTCCCTATCTATAAAACCAACCTCCTCTGCTTGGTTCATCAGAACACTAATTTTATCTTAAAATGCTGCCCAATTCCAGAATTTAAAAAAATTAATATTTTTTAATCATATAGAGGTGATTAATTAAAAAAACATATAAAGACCACATGGGGGAAAAACACAGGCATATAAAGAATAGGTCAAGTAAGGTATCTATAAAATTATGATTTCCTCAGGTGTGCTTTCTTTTTTCCTATTTAAATAACAAAGCAATGAACTGCAGAACCAGACCCTCCAGTAACCTCCAGCAGTTGTCTCCCACAGAAACATCAATGTGAACATCTATTTACACAAGATCCTACCTTCATCACTGAGTTAAGGAAAACAGGTGAGAAACTGCAGTAACTGGTTTTAGCATAACAAGATGCTTTGAGGAAGGCAGAAAGAAAAGAGATGCCCGAGAGTCACACTCCTCAGCACAAGAGGAGAGACTCCTCCAATTTGGAGAAAAGGGAATTAAGTCCAGGTCTTGACTTGGAACCCTGCAGAGCCCCAAGGTCCCTGCTCCCAGGCCACAGACAGGGGCTCCCATGTCTTAACTCTAATGCTTTTCCTCCAACCTTGGGCTTACAGTGTAGAAAAAGATTTCACCTATTGGGGAAAGGGTTGAATGAGGTAGGGCAGGGAAGTCTACATAGAACTTTGCCTTGAAATAGTATTGAGCTGATGAAATCCACCACCGGGCAGATCCCAGTGGTTCTCAGCTGTAGACCTGTGCTGTAGACAGGTTCTCTGGACCTTACCCCAGTGCCAGGCTAAGACCTGGGCCTAGAGGGAAAGACTTGTATTCTGGCCAGCTGCAGTGCTCACAGGCCATGGCAGCACAACATGGAAAGAAACATTGTCCACTTGGGAGAAGAAGAATAAAATAAATACCAAGTCACTACTTGGGAATCTAGAACTGGCTCCTCCAAAGTGAGGCCCAACAAAATCCCAAGATGACCACACATATTGGTAACTTTGGACAAGGTTTCTAGGCCCTCTGTAAGGTCCTTGCTTAGCAGCTGGATGGCCATCTTAAGGAAAGCCTTCATCTTAAGAAAAAATTTTGCTTTCCCTCCCAGGGTCCTTTCTGAGAAAGGCTCACCACTCCCTTATACTGGCATTCTTTCCCGCCCAAGGGTGGATCACCACTCCCTCATA